TCAACTGGCTGGGGAATTCTGGGAGTTGAAGTCCACTCATCTTAAAGTGGCCAAGTTTGGACAACACTGCCCTAAGGGAATAGAAGCCAACACCACCTCTACATGGTACAAAGTTAAACTTCTTTCTATGCACTTGTTTACAGATTCAGAATGAAGAACAGTGACTGTAGCAGGCACACAAGTTTGGACACATATTCAGTCGGTACTTTATAACACGTGTAGTCAGCTAAGAGTCTTACTGTTCTTGCTTTTGAATTTTTTTCCTTCTTTCCTTGCAGAACTCTTCTAGTTCAGAAATATTCTTAGGTCTTTTGCATGTTTGAGATCTCTCCACAATTAACAGCAGTATTCAGATTGAAGGCCATTCTCAAACCTTTATCTTTTTTTCAGTAAGTATTTCATGGTAAATTTGGAGGTATGTTTCAGATTATTGCCTTCTTGAAATATGCAGCCTCTTTTCAACTTCATTTTCTGAGGCTATGGGACACAAGCTTTTAGAATATGTTGATATTTCATTGGATCCATTCTACCTTCCACCACAGAGCCCCAAAGCATATTAGATGGCAAGACGTTCTTTTGTTCAAACGCTTCACCTTTTTTACCCAATGATACTTTGAGTGATTGTTACTGGACAATTCAATTTTTTGTTTTATTAGTCCAAAACTCTTGTTCTAAAGCATTTCAGGCTTGTCCAGGTTTTTATGTTGTTGCTGCTGCTGCATACTTCAGTTCATTACCTTTGGGGTGAGGTTGGAGAAAAGGTTTCCTTCTGACAGCTGTCTCATGCTGATCATTGTTGTTCACTCCGTTAAACTGTGGAGCTATGGACAATTATTCCAGTGCCAGCTAAACTTTTTAGCAGGTCACTTTCAATGCACCCAGTGCCAGAGGCAGCAAAGCAACTCCATAACATTATGGAGCCTCCTCCATGTTTCACAGTAGGATGGTGTTATTTTCTTTAAAAGCATTGTTTCTTCTTCTGTGAACATAGAATTGTTGTGACTTACCAAACAGCTCTAATTTTGTTTCATCTGTCCAAAGGACATTCTCCCAGAAGGCCTTTGGCTTGTCGGTATGCAAACTCCAGTCTGGATTTTTTGTGTCTGTCTTTCAGAAGGGGGTCTTCCTGAATCTTCTATCATGGAGGCCACTTTCAGTCAGACAGCAACGGATGCTGCGACTTAATATTGTTGTACTTTGATCTTGGAGGTCAGCCAGGATCCATTTTGGAGTTTTCCTTGGTTCTTTCTCTACCATTCAAACTATCATTCTGTTCAGTCTGCGATCAATTTTCTTCTTGTGGCCACATCTAGGGAGGTTGGCTATGTTCCCATAGACCTTAAACGTCTTGATACTATTAGCAACCATGGGCACAAGAACATGAAACTCTTTGGAGATGGTTTTGTAGCCTTTACCTTTACCACGTTTTGCTATTACCTTCTTCCTTTCCTCTTCCGACAACTCTCTGCTTTTCTTTTTCTTGTCCACTTTCATTGTGCTGCACACAGTGACCAAAAACGCCTGAATACTTTTCTCCATTCAAATAGGCTGAGTGACTGATTATGTGATTGAAGACACCTGTGATACTAATTAAAGTAAATAGTCTGCCTGAGAGTTTGCTAAAACCCAATAATGTCTTTTAACTTCTAAGAGGTACCAATAATTATGTCCGCGCCATTTTAATTTGTTTTATTATTTACAAGAATATGTTATACATCAAAGAGAAGTGTCTGCTCTATGGACTAGGGAATAATGAATGGTGGATACCATTTGTTTGTGTCTTTTTTGCAGCAAATTGGGATTTTTGAGGGAAAAGTGGAGGGGTACCAATACTTTTAGCCAAGTCAGTAACGTCCATTTCCTAACAAGGTTTCTCAGTTGAAATTGCTAGCTGAAAGCATTTAGAGTTTCTTAACAGCCTTCTCCAGAAAGAGTGAATTATTTTTATTTTTAAGTGTTCAGGCACCTGTTTAGAGGACCCTGTGGTTGCTCAAGTAGATTTTAAAGTTTAGAAAGGTCAGAGTATTTGTTTACCTGAGGAGTTTTCTTTGCAAGGGTAATGTACCCTAGGCCTAATGAGTCAATCACCTTCTGGAGTCTTATTAACAACTTTACTATGAGTTGAAAAAAGTAGCACTGAGTCAACTGGAAGGGTGTTTCAACTTCTGCACCTGCCATATTCACAGTGTTCTTTTTTGAATCTGTAAACAGCAGCACATAAGTAATATGTATTTACATTTGGAGAAAGATGTTATGATTAACTCTGTAGCAGGTAGAAATTATGTTGGCTTCTGCTTACATAGATTCATGGCAACATACAGTTTGGCCAGAGATGCCTAAATTTTTGCCCAACTGTATATAGCTGTGGCAGAAATAGAATTGGCTTACAGTGTTATGAACTGTTCTGAATATATCAGTGCACATCCATTTTAGCATAAGCAGTGTTAGAAAATTGTTTGCTAGAGTCAGTAAACTGCTATGCTTCTAGCCTGTTTTTCTTTGCATGTCAAGAGACATCCACTTCTTCACTTTTACGGAGAAAAAAGCACTTTTCCAGACAGCCCAAATAGTCTGATTAATGGTGCCCTGCTTTCTTTTCTCTCCATCTTGCTACGTTCGAGAACCCCATTAAAACATTAATCTTCTTTGTCTTAGCAGGAAGAACAGCAGTGCCCTTGGCTTATGAGTTCACTAAGGCCCAATTCATATATTGCTATTTCAGGGTAGCGGTGGTGCCTGAAAAAAAATCAGACCCTGAGTAATAGCTGGAAGCAGCCACACACAATATCTGGATTGTATCCTTAATTCCTCTGCCAATGGGCCAGCACTTTAATGGTGGTAGCTGGCTTATACACGCATATGTTCATTGCTGCAAATAGAAGGGTCAACTGTGTAGAAATAATTTGGGAGCAGCAGAAGCTGCATAGCAATACTGCTAGCCCTGGATACAAGTGGAAAAGGTTGCTTTTACTCATAGTCATATAATTGATCCTATTAATAAAAAAGGGATTTTAGGCAAATATTTCCTCCTGAGACATAGGGAAAAGTAATTTGTTTCTTTTACTAGCTTCCTTCTAGTACATTCCTCTATAGCAGGGGTCCTCAAACTTTTTAAACAGGGGGCCAGTTCATGGTCCCTCAGAATGTTGGGGGGCCGGACTATAGTTTGAGGAGAGGCGGAGAGCCACCGGACCCAGCATACCTGTCATGTAGAATAGTCCGGCTCTGTGATCTCCCTCCTCGTGCACCTGACAGACAGCGGCGGCGGCCAATCAGGCGGGCAGGCCAGATAAATGACCCTGGTGGGCCCTATCCGGCCCACGGGCCGTACTTTGAGAACCCCTGCTCTATAGCATGTGCAACAAAATGTGTTTGATCTTATCTTTTATACTTGGTTGAGATTGGTGGATCTTGGGGTTCTAGCAAGATCCAAAACAAAATACCAACAACAAAATCTTGAAATCTGGGGATAGGAGAAAACAGGCAGCTTCTAATTTTACAGAGGAAACTACTCACACCATATACTTGAGGGAAATGGAAAATAGAGGATATTTGATGGTCTAAAGAGATTAGAAGTTGATAAAGGACACCAAAGGTGTTTTTTATGAGAGTTAACCAAGGATTTAGGCATTATAGAGAAATGGATTAAAACTAATCCCATAACTTGCAGTACCTAGGAAGATACACTTCACATTTGGGGATCTAAGAAAAAGGTTTAAAAAGTATTAATTAAAAAGAAAATGGCTTTGGCTACCTTTGGGTGTGGCCATATTAAGGAGGTTGCTTATTTATGGAACCATAAACCATAGCAAAGATGAATATTGGGCTACACATAGCTAAATATGGCAGTTATCTTAGCCAACCACAGGTCTATTCAACATCTTGCGTGTAATGTTCAGCCTGTTTATTATTGCATGATGGAGAGAAAAAAAATTGTTGAATATTTTTAAACTGATAATTGAATTTCTGCACCATGTATTCAGGCAAATTGGCAAACTCATAGAACAGGATATGTGTTTGTGTGTGTGATACACAGACATATATCTATCTATCTATCTATAAAAAAAACCCTATTATTTTTAAATTGACAGTTTGCAAACATGACATTTAGTTAGATCTCACCCTTCTTTTAGACAAGATTTTTCCTATTGAAAGAGAGAAGGTATGAAGCCATGAAAAAAAATGGAAAGAAAGAGAGAAGAAGAAAAGCAAAGCTGTTGAGATTGAATAGCCCATATTAAAATTGATGTTTTAACGATAGTTTTACCAGATCTGGAGTACAGAAATCCAGTTTCCCACTAAATGGTAGCATAAGACTAACTCTTTGCTGCTATCTTATGGTCATTCAGATATTTGGAGCCCAAATCTGGTAGCCTAGTTAAGATGGCAAAGAGTTTCTGCTGAGAGGAGTTTCAGAGCTAACAGATAGGTGTCCCCATAATTCAAATTCTCTCTTGGCTTTCTCCACAGCCACCATCTGGACAGGAAGAGAACTCCAGCAGTGGAAGTGCTCAGGCAACTGCTCAGCCTACCAAGGGCCAAAGCTTTGTGCAGAATCACTTCCAAGCCCAGTACAGGTAAGAAACTAACACAGACTTCCCTGTACTACTGCTAAAGACTTTCACTGCAATTTTTTTTTTTGTAACAGAGGCCCATCTAGAAGTCACCCCTAAGGCAGACTGTGGTAGACAGAAGGCCAAAGACCTTACTTGGTACAAATTCCAGATTGTTAAAATTAAGCAGGAACCAGCTCATGCCAGATGTGGGACAAGCCTAGCAGTGTTGGTGCAGAGTGATCAAGGTACTAAGTGATGGCTTCCTGCAGCAGAATGAAGGTTCTCCCTCCTCCAGCTCAGTTCTCAAGGCAGCGAAGAGGGTGCAGCCCATCTTGTTTAGTTCCTACACTTCTCAGCTGGCTCCACTAGGTGCTGATGGCAGGGCTGTGATGCCTTCACTCTTCTAAGCATGATTGCTGCCAAGTTCTGCCAGAGGCCAAAGAGGCTCCCTATCCTAGAAAAAAATATAGCAACTAGTTCTTGCAAACTGGTTAGATAACACTCCTTGCAAATTGCAGAGAGATGTTTTAGAAGAGTGAAAAACAAAAATTCAGTTTGGCGGCATTGAAGGTTACTCTTCTATCAGCTGGCAGTGCTGTGAAATCTAACCTGGTGCCTTCAGGGTAACAATGGAACAGAGCATTCTCAAGATAAGCTAGTGTTTGGACAAGTGACACTGAATTAATTCCAGTATAGTTTTGCTGTCTTCATTTGCTCTTTCTCAGCTGGCAAAAATACAAGAACAAAACTGGAATGGTAGCATGTGGCTTGGATTATTTTATAAAAGATGTATCCAACTGTACTGATCTTCCCTAACCTGGTCCCTGGTTATATTTGTACTATAATTCCTGGAATACTTACAGTTAGGACTCTTGGATATAAGAGTTCAAGACATCTGGAAGGTACCAAGTTCAGGATGGCTGCCTGTTGGGAAAATTGTTCCATGTTCCTTTCATGACCTAGCTGAGTGAGAGAGAGAAGGACCTGGAAAAGGAAATGCAGAATGAATAGCACATGATACAGTTCTGTCTCACTTTGGGTAGTCAAAGCTATCTTGTATTAGCACAGTCCTGAAGATATTGACATTTCATTATAGTAATTGGATGTTGGAAAGAAGGAAAGGAAGGCCTTGCTGTCTCCTTTTGGATGAGACAGTAAACGAATGCTTCAGTTAGCATGTGGTTCCTGCTGTTGACACTGCTGATCTGTGTCTCTGACAGTGAGATGAAATAGTTATAGTTACAAACTATGATGACACTCTCACCATGAGGCTGTTCTCCTAGATAATGCTTTAAAGGCTGCATCTTTCCATTGTTGCATCCTGTCCTCCGTAGCTGGGTGTCCTAAACTTGGTGAGGCTTGGTCCTGCCCTTCAGAGGAACAAGGATGGCAGCAAGTAGGCAAAGTACACAATCAGGATCCTGGATTTTTGTTCTAGTCATTAGAAGGTAGGGGAAACAAGAACAGTAATTTTTCTTCCTAAAAAAAGTCTGATACAAAAGGTAGAAACAAACGTATAGGCAGAGTAACACTCAGTGAACTGGGCTGCAAAATACTAGCTCCCTAAACTGTGGCAAATTTATAGAGGCTTTTCTAGATTCAGTTGTTTACCTCTTCTGTATGAGTTTTTCCTTTTGCATTCAATTCAGAAGATGATCTGTGGGTTCTTTTCACTGGGGAAAATAGTATATAAGTCTCCTGTTCTAGCTATGAGAGCACACCCTACTTCTCCTTACATTAAAATAAAAGTCTGTGGTGAAATTGTTCAATCCATTCCTGAAAGCTGAAATATGTTGCAAGCAACATTCTGCTATTGGCACTAGAAGATTTGGGTGCCTAAAAAAACCCTGGATGGTTCATAATGCATCTTTGCCTTCAGGGATGCACTTAGAGCTAGCTAAGAAGCTTGTTGTACCCTGAACTATAACAGATATGCGGAATGATATCTGGTGCAAATGAGATAAATTTTTTCAAGGGTGACTAAAAGCTTTTAATTTGGGGAAGAGATGGCTTAAAATAAAGCATGTAGGGTATGCATTTTTAAAACACTAGGAACCCTTTCAGCTGAGTTGGTCCTACTGGAGCCCAATAACACTGTTTCAGCTGCTGGCAAAGCCACTTCATAGAATGAAAGAAATGTCATTTAGACTATTTGTTCTCTGTGCCCTATGCAAGCTGATGAAGCTTTTACTCTTGTGGAGCCAGAAGGAATCTCAGAGCTCTTTAACCAAGAAAGGTTAAGTGCCAGAGCAGTCCAGGCAGGAGATAATAAAGTTAAAACTGCAAGGTTAAATTTATCCCATTGCATGTGGGATGCAGCTTGGCCTTAGAGGAGTGAGGTCTGTAGGCACTGAGAAAAGTGAGTGGAATTTGTGAGAAATTCTCAGTGGTTCACATTAGAAGGTGAGTTCCAATCAGCTTGGACTGGCACTAGGAACTGTTACGGGCAGTTATGGATGTCACTTCATCAACCACTAGCCAGTTTTCTCTGGGGCAAAGTCTACCACTCCATCCACTTCAGTGTTCTGTTTGTCATGGTAGTTTGTTTGTAGAGGTTAATGGATAAACCACCCATGGTTGCATTTGCAGACCATCTGTTTTGGGTGCTGTCCAGCTTAGGATCTTTATCACATTTTAAATCTGATCTATACAGTTTAGTGACTAAAAATATATCAGGCTTGAAACAATAACCATTTGTGATTGTTTTATCACATCTAGGTTGTTGTTCAAGAAGCTGCAAAGCAAATAGAGGAACTTAATTGGTCATGAATTTAACACAAGTCTAATGACATGTGGCTGAAGATCATGCAACCAGCTGTGACTTGGAGGATATGTTGTAATCAAGCATTGAGGGATTCAGCCAGAATTAGCCAGTGACTTCTGGGGGTTGATCTTGCTAAAATGTTATGCTTCTGCCTAGCCTATACTACTTTGATTGCAGTGGAGGACTATAGCCTGAATGCACTTCTCTTTTTGGAAAAAACAACAACAAATCTCTACAAATATAAAACTAACATTTCAGAAGGAAGTTTAACCTAACTTTCTCCTTGATATACCAACTTATTTTTTAAACAAAAAATAGAAGTATCCCTACGTGCAGTCTGATATAAAGGAGTGGTTTCAAGAACGATAGCTGTGTAAGACTGCTGCAGTGAAAATAAGAGAGTTTCTTATGAAACCTTAAAAGGAGATGATGCAATATAAACTTTTAAGGTCTAGAATCCATTGCATAGGACATGTGAAGTATTATCTTAAAAGAGTGACTAGATAGACATACACACACATATACAGAAAACACTGTACACAAAGATGCACACTGCTGTGGAAAAAATACATCTTTGTATTTGTACATGCTGTTGCTATGAAGGCAAAACTTCCCTGCCATACTTACAATGGTAGGCCCAACCTTCTGCAGAAGATTGCATTCACCAGAAGCAGTCAATCCCTCCCTCCTTCCCTCCTTCCCTCCCTCCCTCCCATCCATCCATCCATCCATCCATCCATCCATCCATCCTTCTGACAAAGCTTGCCATAATGATGAACATTTTCCTAATTATTAATAATTGGTCACTTAAAATGCTATCAGCTCAGCAAAACTGTCTCCAGGCCTGGACCATACTGGGAACCAATCCCCTGCAGCAATTGTGCCTTCCAAGCAGAGAATTCCAATTAACCCTCCTTTATGGGAAAACAGATGAGCCTCCCAATCTCTAGCTTTCTTTCTCAAGCCACAGACGTACATTGCTTCGCTGTACTGTGACATTGCAGCCATCTCCATGGCAACCCATTGTACTGTTTGAAAGGGTGGCTGGTGTGGCTCGTATCTATGCTGTAGGAATGCAGCCACAAACATTTGCTTGAGTAGATGCTGGGAATTTACTTTTTTCTGCAAACATGCCCCTTATCAACAACTTCATGTTCAGTGCGAAGAGTTTCAAAAAAACCAAAACAAAAACCCTTTCTCCATATCACTTCCCTTCTTATATTCTTTGAACAAAACATACTTTTGAGCAGGAAATTGAAATGAACTGATGTGGTAAATGTGCTGTGAAAACGCTTTGCCATCTGATTATTGAATCAGACTCATTTGAGGGGATCTATGTTATTTTGGAGCATGAAACCTAGAGCCACACAAAAGATAGACAAAAATGCTCTAGTAGGGCAGTCACTGTCTCATCACAGTGCTCTGTAGTGAATAAAAGTGAAATTACACTCTGTAATGAATACAATTCAGCATACTGAGAACTGTTGTTTTAAAATAAACAACTTTCTAGGCCAGTGATAGGCTACCTGGTACTATTTTGGACTAAAAACTCCCAGTATCCTTGTAACAAACTTGAAATCAACCACAATACTGGCTGAGATTGAATGGAATTGAAGTCGAAAACATCTGGAAAGCACCAGGTTGCCTGTGTTTAGTAGTAACAATAAGTTTGAAAGTTGTATGGACTATGATTAATTCACTCTCAGTGGATTGTAAAATTGTAAATTTGGAAGGGAACTCCAAAGCGGTCTAATTCAATTCTCTACTAATGGTGGAAATCTTCTACTATGCATCCTTGACAATCTGTCAGGGTACAACATGTAGCAGGGTGGGCAGAATCTGAACCCAAACTTGGCAGTGCCAAAACATTTCTTACTTTCTTTATTCCAGTTCCTTCCTTCTCTTGCAGAGGACCTGTGAAATTAGCTGAGGACCTCAAGAGGCTGCCTTTTTGCTTATATTGTAGCCATTCCATACTTAAAGCTTTTTTTTTTTTAATGGAATTTGTATTTCTTTTTGAATGAAGTAATTGGGCCCTACCTAGATAAGTGGTATAATTCTGCACCAGCTAAGAAGCAGCTCTGGTTTTTTTGCTGTATTTCTTGTTTTGTTTCGTTTTGTTGGTGGATCATACATCTTAAATCAGGTCCTATTCTGAGCCAGTCTGTTCACGGATAGTGCCTCTGCACGGTCATTGTAATTTCATCTAAGACTTCAATAGTGTCTCCAACTTTTTGCCAACAAAAGTTTTAGGTCT